TCTTAATAGAGGCATCAAAAAAGCATAGCAGCAAAATATTTACTCACGCAAACCAGTGCTTGTCATGTATTGAAAAAAACCACCACCACAATGGCTACCTTGGTGTTCTTTCCCCATTGACAATGACCCGACTAAATCAACCAATCACGGACACCATCACATCGTCATATTTCCAAAGATCCCTACCATGCCTCTGTCAAAAGTCTCCAGTTCCCTATTCATATTTTATATTAATCACAGCTATAAGTCATCAGATGAAACCTTGAGTGACACATCCAGTGACCCGCACTGGCCACCAACTCTCTGGACAGTGTCCAGAATGTCTTGGCTTGCCAGCTCCAATTGTCGGCAAAATAAATGATAGGTTTTGTATTGTTCCCAGGTTGTATTGTTCCAAGATCTATTTGTCCTACAGGGCTGCTCAAAGAGAAGGCTAACATTCCTTTGTAAAGTGTCAATGACAACAAAAGGCTAGCAGGGTGCTATCTCTTGCCTCAGTGTTAATTCACACTACACTGCAAAACTTGCCAAGACTCTGTTGAGAATTTTTCAAGCTCTGAAAAGTAATTTCTGAGTATTCTGAAGTAGGGTGTTTATGGTGGACTAATATTTTCTTCTTTACCTTCAAAGCTGAGCAAGTATTTTTAATCACAACCTCATGAATTGGCAACATTTATATGGATGTAAAGCAAATTATACACTGCAAAATATTTTCTTATGGAGTAATATTAAGTATCTATGAAATGGTTAATATGCATGTTTGGTTGACTTAATGTATACGTTAATTCTATTTGATGGCCAAACAAAGAAGAAACCCTTAATCTAAACATGGAAAACAGATAACAAATCACTTAAAGTTGGCGACACACACGCATCAACCAAATGGTATTAGCCTAAGACAGGGTTCATTTAATTCTTAATTTGCAAAACATGTCTCCTCTCTCATTTACAAATTGTTCGTGCTAAGAAAGTCTGCATCTCCTCTCTGAGACCTCAAAGTACCCATATTTCTGTCACATTGTATATCTTCATAACCCATGCACATACTATATTGCTTCCTTTATAACGAGGGATGTTCATGCCCTGAACCATGCCCCATAGACTTGCTCCAAGGCTGTACTGAAAGAAAAGTCCATGGATGTGTAATTTTTTCTTCCTAATAGGCAAGTCTAGATGTATGGACCATACAAGGACTCCAGTCTCTTATGGGGACAACTCGTTCCTATTATTTACATAATCTTATGATTTAAACTTTAATTATTGCCTTAGAGACTTGTGCAAGTCTACATGCCTCACTGTGTGTGTTAATGTAACATGAAGTCTTCTTGCATTGTGTTAAGGGCATGTCAAATAAAAAATATTTTGGATCATAACAAACTAATAAACCAGAAAACTTACATGTTCGTTTTAAAGAGGTGAAAAAATAATGAAAAATATACATTTGAGAGGAGTGTTTTATGCAGGCTAACATTTTAATCTTTGAAATCCTTTATAACACTATGTGGGGAATCGAAACTTGAGTCTTCAGCCTGCGAGAATGCTTGAGCATACCACATGCTTAACACAAGGCTACCACAAGGCTACCACAAGGCTTAGTACCACAAGGCTTAGTACCACAAGGCTTAGTACCACAAGGCTACCACAAGGCTTAGTACCACAAGGCTTTATACCACAAGGCTTAGTACCACATGGCTTAGTACCACAAGGCTTACTACCACCAGGCTTAGTACCACATGGCTTAGTACCACAGTACCACATGGCTTAGTACCACAAGGCTTAGTACCACAAGGCTTAGTACCACATGGCTTAGTACCACAAGGCTTAGTACCACAAGGCTACCACAAGGCTTAGTACCACAAGGCTTACTACCACAAGGCTTAGTACCACAAGGCTACCACAAGGCTTAGTACCACAAGGCTTAGTATCACAAGGCTACCACAAGGCTTAGTACCACAAGGCTTAATACCACAAGGCTTAGCACCACAAGGCTTAGTACCACAAGGTTTGGTACCACAAGGCTTAGTATCACAAGGCTACTACAAGGCTTAGTACCACAAGGCTTAGTACCACAAGGCTTAGTACCACAAGGCTACCACAAGGCTTAGTACCACAACGCTACCACAAGGCTTAGTACCACAAGGCTTAATACCACAAGGCTTAGTACCACAAGGCTTAGTATCACAAGGCTACCACAAGGCTTAGTATCACAAGGCTACCACATGGCTTAGTACCACAAGGCTTAGTACCACAAGGCTTAATACCACAAGGCTTAGTACCACAAGGCTTAGTATCACAAGGCTACCACAAGGCTTAATACCACAAGGCTTAGTACCACAAGGCTTAGTACCACAAGGCTTAGTATCACAAGGCTACCACAAGGCTTAGTATCACAAGGCTACCACATGGCTTAGTACCACAAGGCTTAGTACCACAAGGCTTAATACCACAAGGCTTAGTACCACAAGGCTTAGTACCACAAGGCTTAGTATCACAAGGCTACCACAAGGCTTAGTACCGCAAGGCTTAGTACCACAAGGCTTAGTACCACAAGGCTTAGTACCACAAGGCTTAGTACCACAAGGCTTAGTACCACAAAGCTACCACAAGGCTACCACGAGGCTTAGTACCACAACGCTACCACACTGCAGCGAGCAAAATGAGGGTGAGCAAGTATTAATCCAGTCATATCCTAGGGGGTGGGGGTGGGGGACACAAGATATGTGCTTCATGCATTGTACCACAATGGGGAACTCAACCTGGGGTTAAACCACCAGGCTACCACACAACCTCAAGATGTCTGCTATAAGTTTAAGAAAAGGTGTACATAATAATGTCTCTGCATTCTCTTTTCCTTTGTCAGGTATTGTTATAATGCTGTAAACGTTGGAAGCTGTGAGTGTTGCCTGTGTTTTGCTTCCCAAGCATACATGACCCGATAAGGTGAAATGTGACAGGCTAAGGCTGCCTCCAATTGAGAACCCATACCACAGGCCAGTCAAGATGGTCACATAAAACACCCCTTCCTTAAAGTGTCTTTGTTAGAACTGACCCAATATTATAAATCAAACACACTATAGTCAACACAGCCACAACTTACTGCTGAGGTTCCCTCCATTGTGTCAGTGGTTGTAAACAGAACGGTCATTTCGAATCTCCAACTCTTTGGAGAAGGCCTCACAGCTTAAACAATTCAAGCTGTAAGTGTATATAGATTTATAGTCAACAAGACGACATAGACTTCAGCATATTTACTGGGGCAGAACTTGTGAATGGCTTTGAAAGCTGAAACCGTAATGAAAATTCTTACCTTGTCTCACACTGCTGGACCTAACGAGAGGTAGTGCGGTCGTAACACATGCAACAGGTATGAATGGAATAGTTAGGATTGTTATCAATAGTGATCCTTTGTTTGAAAAACAAAATTGAAATCATAAACCTTGCAGTGGAGCACATATGTAGTAGTTTCATGTTAGACTGTTAAAACTAGTTGCTGGAGATCTATAATCACCTGGAATCTGAACAGAGAGACAAGCATATGTCACTTAGGACCTATTCTAACCCAACATATGCCAGGGAGACAAGCATATGTCACTTAGGACCTATTCTAACCCTACATATGCCAGGGAGACAAGCATATGTCACTTAGGACCTATTCTAACCCAACATATCCACGGGGAGACAAGCATATGTCACTTAGGACCTATTCTAACCCAACATATCCACGGGGAGACAAGCATATGTCACTTAGGACCTATTCTAACCCTACATATGCCAGGGAGACAAGCATATGTCACTTAGGACCTATTCTAACCCAACATATCCACGGGGAGACAAGCATATGTCACTTAGGAGCTATTCTAACCCAACATATCCACGGGGAGACAAGCATATGTCACTTAGGAGCTATTCTAACCCAACATATGCCAGGGAGACAAGCATATGTCACTTAGGACCTATTCTAACCCAACATATGCCAGGGAGACAAGCATATGTCACTTAGGACCTATTCTAACCAAACAAATCCACAGGGAGACAAGCAATGGTTGAAGAGAACCTATTCTAATCCAGAATCCCAACAGGGAGACGGACATAGATTTCTGGAGACATATACTAACCTAACATAAAGCAATGGTTGAAGAGAACCTACTCCAATCCAGAATCCCAACAGGGAGACGGGCATAGATTTCTGGAGACATATACCAACCTAACTTAAAGCAATGGTTGAAGAGAACCTACTCCAATCCAGAATCCCAACAGGGAGACGGGCATAGATTTCTGAAGACATATACCAACCTAACTTAAAGCAATGGTTGAAGAGAACCTACTCCAATCCAGAATCCCAACAGGGAGACGGGCATAGATTTCTGGAGACATATACCAACCTAACATAAAGCAATGGTTGAAGAGAACCTACTCCAATCCAGAATCCCAACAGGGAGACGGGCATAGATTGCTGGAGACATATACTAACCTAACATAAAGCAATGGTTGAAGAGAACCTATTCTAATCCAGAATCCCAACAGGGAGACAGGCGTAGATTGCTGGAGATATATACCAACCTAACATAAAGCAATGGTTGCAGAGAACCTATTCCAATCCAGAATCCCAACAGGTTGCTGGACACTCAGTATAATCTGGAATCCCCACAGCACAGGTTTCTGGGGACTTCTTCTAACCCAGAATCCCAAAGGGGGCTGCTTTGCGTCACCCCGATTATGTCATGGTCATGACATTACAACATCTTATCAATGAACACACTGAATCAATACTTCAGGGAATCAATAAAATCCCAAACTTCATTGATGCTAAATATGTCAGAACATCTATATTTGGTCATGACAAGTTCATAATTACTCTCTCTCTCTCTCTCTCTCTCTCTCTCTCTCTCTCTCTCTCTCTCTCTCTCTCTCTCTCTCTCTCTCTCTCTCTCTCTCTCTCTCTCTCTCTCTCTCTCTCTCTCTCTCTCTCTCTCTCCATCAAACTGCTGTATAATACTTACCCTGATATTGCTACTTAGTCAAGGCAGTTATGTAAGGGGCATTCTCTCATGCAGTTTACCATGTATATCTGAAAATAATGAAAGATTTGTTAGTTTGGAGAAAGATTGTGCTACTGGACAACAAAAACAAGGACTCTAAGAGCTTGAAGACATTAATTTAATGAATTACTCTCCAGTTGCTAACGGGGGGCCTCACTTGATGAATATTTGACAGATTGAGATTGTGTTTACAGTAGTGACGCATAATATTGACATCATGTTAACGAGTGTCCATTTCAATTTTCAAGGAAGGCTGTTTTATCATTATTTCCATAAATGATGTGATTTCTGCAAGTAAATTGACCCATAAAAGCAATTTGATTATGAAATTGCCTCAAATGATGCCTATTCGGATAATATAGCCTTCCAAAGAAACACAATTCAATGAAAATTTGTTGAAACGAAGTATTGATCAATTTCCTTTTTAAAGTTTGGCTGACGTTACATGTAACCATGTTATTTCATTTTGTGGTTTTATACTTTGCAATCAAACATAAAAATACTTTTATGGGAAGCAAAAATTTTAAGTTATATTTTTCAAGATTGCTTTCATAATAGACGCAATTGTCTGATGAGACTTTTATGGTTCAAAATTAAAATTTATGAACAAAAAACGCAAGTCAATCCAATAGTCATAGAGACAACTTCAGGTCATTTACTTGGACTTTAGTCGTAAAATGCAGCCCAATAAAACCAAAACATGCACAACACCATAAATCCCAAACCAACAGCGCTCTAAACCTCACGTGTGGTAAAAATGATGCAATTTTTCAAATAATCAATCTACGTTTTATAACGATAATCTCTGACATAAAGACACTCTTTAACTTTTATCTCGTCCCATCACGTCCTATGAAATGGTTCAAGTCAGTAAATAATTGCTGATTCAGCACACTACCTCTCACAAACTGACACTGCTTATGGTCCCAAGGATTTCATACACCTGTAAAATGTGGGCATCTCTTTCCATAGTCCCCTGGAATCAGCCACATAGGGATCGGAATTCCCGTATCTATAGCATGCATCCGTAATATCTCAATCTTATGCCTCACTGTCAAAACTGCTGAAGTTGCAATTCAGATGGACATACCATGTCATGTTTGGAAGGGAAAACAACAGCTGAAATTTACTTACTTCTTAATTTTTATAAATATGTTTTTAATAAACAAATCTATAATATACTTAAACTAAAAGGCCTGAAGTCTGCATAACCCCCTTCATTCTGTTCTTCAATTCATGTAAGGGTTTTAGGTGCATTGTTGCATGATTAAATTTCTTGGCCAACAAAACATGATTGACTGATTGCTGATTTACCTTGACTGAGGTAAATCATAATACTTTCATGATTAGACTTTATTAGAGCATTAATCAGCTTGTACTCAGTGATCATAAACAATACTGGAAATTTCAAAAATATTTTGCGAGTTCATTTGGTGGACTAAATATAATTACATAATTACACATAATGACACACTCTGAAATGCCTTGTGTATTTTTTTATTTATCCACAGTCATCAAGGTGCCCTTTTGACAAAATTGGTTTACAGATGAAAACCCAGCGATTGTTTACATAAGATCTGAAAACAAAGAAACCGATGAAACTGTGCGACCTGGCCTGAACTGTATAATTGTATGACAATGTCTAAACAGGATAATTGGCAGTTAATTGAGATAGGAAAAAAATACTGCCATTTAAACATTTGTACAGGATTATGAAGACACTTATACAAGTTATGGCACTATTGCAACACTGGCACAAGAACAAGACACAACAAACCCTTTGATAATTTCAGAAACCATGCAACGTTTCTTGTGACAGGATTCAGGAGTCAGGTGTATGCTAAAGGTGTGGATCGTTGCTGATAATATTAATCACTGGTTTGTCTGTTTTGGCCGCTACCAAGAGGTGAGTGACACAGGATTCATATAATATTTGTTTGTTTGTTGTTAACGCCTCACTCGGAAATGTTCCAGCTATATGATGGCAACACGTGCGTGCGTGCGTATGTGCGCTTGTTCATGTGTGTGGGTGTTGTATAATGCCTCACTCAGGAACATTCCAGCAACAGGAGAGTGTGTGTGATGTGTGTGATGTGTGTGATGTGTGCGCATGGTGTGTGTGGTGTGTGTGATGTGTGTGATGTGTGTGATGTGTGTGATGTGTGCGTATGGTGTGTGTGGTGTGTTGCATTGTGTTGTGTTGTGGTGTGTGTGCAATTTGTTTAACACCTCACTCAGCAACATTTCAGCAATATGATGGCTGCTTGTAAATAACTGTGTCCAGACCAGACAATCCAGTGATTGATATAAACGTAAACAAAAACAAAATACAATTTTAAATTCTGAAGTGGTAGAATATCATTCACTTAAATTTGTCTGTACTTTTGACTGGCTTTGTGTTGGCCTCCCATACCAAACTGTCTACTGACTGTCATCTCATTAACACCTGTGAACCATACAAGGCATACTGCAAGTGACGAGTGTGACACGAACCACACATCGCATCCTCCCTTACACAAGCATCCCTGTCTAATAGCCTCATCACCACAGAACATCAAGGAGACTTATCTGTGATAAAACCTTTAAGGATTATATACCCTCTAACCCCAGCAGCGACCTCTAACCCCCTGAAATGAACATACAACACCTGGAACACAGGAACTAGCCTTGCTCCAGGATCACTGGAAGAACACATTAGTGAGGTTTTAGTTTATTTGTAATTATCAAGTCTGGATAAACTGACCAACTTTGTTAGGGAAACAATACGTTAAGACCCTTTTCAACAGCAACACCTAACTGTTAATTATTTATTGAATAATAAAATAATTTAAGGCTTGTGCAAGTCTAGTTTGATCTGGCAGGAAGCTGTGTACATCAAGACAGGAACACTTGAAACTTTTCCCCTGTAGCCTTGCTCCAAGGCTGTACTGAATGATAAGTCCATGGATGTACAGTAATTCTATCCTTATAACAGGCAAGTCTAGATAAGCGGACAGCACAAAGGATGTCAGTCTTCCATAGGGACACCTTGATCTTAATGTTTGCATACATACATAATCTAGAAATTATGATTTAAACTAAATACTATTGCCAAAGAGCCCAAAGAGCCGTGTGTAATTGATCTTCCTCTGTTGCTTCCAGGCTTCTTGTCACACAGAATCCAAAATATGCATGTGTTGAAATTAAGAAAGTCTAGTTCACATGAACATATCGGATAACTAGCTTTCATAACAATTTCTTAAAGTTTTGCTAATTTCTGAAATAATGCATATCGTGTGGGCGAAAATGTTTCCAGTTATTTTAATAATACCAGTACCACATCAAGAATGTAACTAATCAATAATTAATAAAGAGCTTGTCAAGAAACAATATTACAAGCATCTGTTAAAAAAATGCATTTCTTCTCATATTATTGTTTCACTCCCAATCGCTAAGATTATTAACGCCTGTGATTTGCCAACTTCAAACACGAATCTTTCCAAAGAAAGATACAAGAGACGTAATCACTTATCACTGGTGACAAGCTGAGAAATAAAAGAGGAATTCCACACTGGCTTGTGATGCAGAATAAATTGGGATAAAGTGGGATGGTAAACTTGCCAGCAAATCAACTTGGCAAGTAAAGTCACTCTTATCAGGAGTTCATTTTGTTGGATTGTTGGCGCCGAGATTAAGGGTGTTTTGATACTTCTACAACTCAGGTATTGAAATTATCTACTTTGCTCTTATCTTTTCTTAAACAAATATTTAAAGAGTAGAATTTCTATTAAATACTTATCATACCTATGTTGCTGAGATGAGTTTGTAAACATCGACAGCAAGCCGTATTAAGATAACTTAAGTTCACAAAGCACTGACTGACGTCCATTACTTTCAGATGACTACAGTGATGGAATTGAGTAATCATTTGTTATGATAAGTAGTCATTTATATCAATACTCCCAAACAGCATACCCATTAGAATACTCCCTGCTTGTACTAAGTCCCTAGACTAACATCTAGTCTCTGAAATGAACACATCATACAGAAAAAAAAACGGTTGTTCAGTTATCTTAATAAAAATATAATAAAAGGGAGCCCAGTGACTCTGTTCATTAATCTAGACCTGCCAAACTTGCATGTGCTGTATTTGATATATATTTGTATCAGGGTCTGTAAGACAGACTACTAAGTCCCTTAATTTGTTAGTTATTTGACTTTATATACAAGTCAAAAGAAATTAAAGAACACCTGATTTTTTCAGATGTCTGTAGTCAAACTTTCATGCCATGAGTATTCCTTTCATCTTGTAAGTTTTATATTATCTGATTCAACCTGACAACATTCACACTTACATGTCACAATTTCACACAAGACTTTAATGGTTTATTTATTTATGAATGGGAGTGTGTGCTGCTATCTGATTGGCTGAAAAATATGAATAAATGGGATTTGATTCCTGGCCATCTCTTGGCAGAGCTATTTAGTGTGCAAAGTCTTTTTGTTCTGTATCCCCAGTTTGAAAGGAAATACATTCTGCTAGGTGAAATGGATACCATATGAATTAAATATTAAGTTTGATCAATACTTTATAAGAATGACTTTGATTTCAGTTCAGAGTGACGTCTCCTCTGTCTCAGCTGTCAAGAAAAAGTGCTTCAGAAAATGATGGATAAATTTTGTATTTTACAATGTCGATAAACAATCGAAGCCCAGACATTTTAACATTTAAACCGTCCGGCTGATGCTGTTAGTTCGAAATGAAATCCCCAGACATTGAATACTCAATAAAACCCCCAAGTCTGAAAACACATGATGTTTTTCTCTCCAGTCAAAAACCTTTGAGCCTACAATCTTCTTTTACTGTCATTTTATATATATATATATATATATATATATATCATCATCATCATCATCATCATTTTATATCAATATTATTAGATTTATCATGTTAATCATCCCCACCACTATGTCAGAAATAATCATAAAGGTTTTGTCGAGGAACATCTTGCCTAACAACTGCTTGGGACGGCTTACAGTGAAGAGGACA